GAGAGATAAAAGATTTTTGGATGTCCTTCACAATCCTCACAGTTAAAAACTACTGAAAATCTGGAGAGAAATATCAAACATACAGAATAATCAAACAGAAGAATATTTCTGAACTAGAAAGTTCTCCTAGGAAGAATAGGGGGAAAAACCTTAAAAGCAAGAATAGAAAGATTCTTCCCTGACTATTGTTTGAAATCTTTTAACTGTACTATGAAGAGTTGGAATTTAGTAACTGTCCAATAGTCTGCACCTGCCATTTTACTCTTTCTTATCAGCAAAAAACTGCACATAGATAGGAAATATATATTCATATTTGCATAAAAACATCATGTTTAACCGTGTGCCATATAGAAGTTATGTCAGCTTCTATTCATTTAGGGGTTGACTGGAATAAGCATATGTCTAAACTTTTGCATACAACTATATCTTTTGTTTGCTTGAGTTGAGTTGGAATGATACTTTTTTGTTGCCTGATTTTTTTTTCTTAATATTTATGAATCTGTGTTTAGGTAGGAAGCAGATTCTTCTTTAAATATCCAGATCACTTTCCTCGTCCATCCTTTTCCTAATACTTTCTTTCACTGGGATTCTTATATTGTGGTAAAGTGGTTTTAGATGTTCATTTGTTGGCTAAGAGTCATAATGATTATGCTCACTCATAATATTACGATTTAAACCATTCGTTCCAAACTGAATAGCTGGATGTACAAATCTTAAACTAAAAAAAATCAATTTGGGAGAAATATTGAAAATCAGTTTTTTTGTCTGCAATATATAGTACACAACTAAACTCTCAGGCCCAACAACTGTCCTCCTTGTTTGTTAATCTTCTGCCATATTGTTCTGTATATTTACAGTGATGAGAGACCGTTTGTGAATGTTTGTGCCTGAAAAATTCAATATTGTATTGAATACCTAAGGCAAGTTTGTTAGACAAACAATCCTGGAAAAAGTAACAGTACTGCCATGTTTCTCCATTTGTACATTCTCTGATTATTAGCTGATGGAGCATTTTCATTGGCAATGATTTTGTGGATTTTTTCAGCCAATTGAACATCAGGAACTCTTTTTTCTAAGATCCACAGAAATATTTTTGGTTGGGGCATGAATTATTTTTGATAGACGTATACGTCCAGAAACATGTGTTGTGAATCGTAGGTTGCAATGGTGGAAACCAATATGTTGTATTTTATTTAATAAATAAATAAATCTGGTCAGGACATCTATAAATAGTCCTCAACTTATGACCACAGTAACATTTGCACAATTATAATTGTAAGTGGTGATGGTTGTTAAGTGGATCATCACATAACTGCACTTGATTTTACTTTTGCAGCAGTCATTAAGAAACGCAGCTGTTATTCAGCAAAAATTGGGTGTTGTGAAGCAAACCCATAGTTTGCTATGGGCATCTTTTGCCAGAAACCAAAAGTAAATTCCGGTTTCCAGCAAAAACATTGCAAATCATGGTAACATGATTGCAGGATGTTGCAAAGAATTGTAAATATGGGTCAGTTAACAAATGCTCAAAATGCGGTATGTGACTGCAGGGGGTGGGGATGGGCAGGTCACCTGTTGGAATTTCATACCTGGGTCATAAGTAACTTTTTCTGGATCCATCATAACTTCAAAGAGTCACTAAGTGACCAGCCATAAGTCAAAGACTACTTGTATCTCAACTGATCTGTTGATAATCCTAGGTCACAGGTGTCAAACTCGATCGTGCCACGTGACGTATCATGACGTATTGTAACTTTTTTGCCTTTGTAGAACTGGGGTGGGTGTGGTCTGTGCATGACGCATCCAGCCCACAGGCCGCCAGTTTGACACCTCTACTCTAGATATCTCTTCTAATAATAACATAGTGAAAGTTGGCTCAGTTTCAATACAAAGATGGCATACTACATTGTTTGGGATGTCATTTGTGTTAACCAGAATATCTTTATGNTGATGAGGCATGTCCTCCACTCCCTTGGACTTAGCAAGCAGAGTAAAGGGCAGAAGAAACATGCTCAATGAGACCCCTTGCCACACAAGGGAATAGCTTTCTTAATTAGAGATAGCTGGCTGCAATCTGATTTAGGAACAGTGCTGACCCATGTTTTCTATTAAAAAAAACCCTGTGATCTCCTGTTCCTGGATGTCATCTGAAGGATCAGATGAAAGAATATATGGGCAGTTGAGGCCCTGGGGATCAGAAGAAGGGTCATATGTGGAGATAGGACCCAGGTGTGGTTGTGATGGACATGGGAGTAAGGAAGATGAATTCTGAGAAGAAACATTTACTCTTAAACAACTTTTTCTTTAACAGCTTTTTTTTCCCTTTGCAGACAAGCTTGCTAACAGTTGAGCAATGTGAGGGGGCTGTGGGGGATGGGGGGGATGCAGAGACAATAAAGTAAGACAACTTCAGAGGTTCAACCACTTAGCCAGGTTGCTGAGCTTCATTTATAAGAAGCGTTAAAACCACATAGCTGGCACAGGAAACTAGAAGCTTTGCAATATTCCCATGACCTAAGGTAGGCAAAGATGGCGTGACATTTAGCTATTTTGCATAGCAAGCAAGAAAACTTTAGGGGCTGCAATCCAGGTAACCAATCAATATTATATGTTATGCATGTATTATCAGGGGGAGGGAAAAGGGATGTGTTGGGAGGGCAGAAGGATGTATGAAAATCACCTTTGATTATAAAAACTGCTGTAAAACTGTAAAGAGTGCCTTGGTAGCTTTCAAAGCCAAGGTCACTTTTATTTCTTGGTACCAAAATAAAAGTCTGTTTTTCCGTACCTTGGGTTTGGTGTGATTAATTGGCTTCAACACCAAGCTAAGATCCAGTTTTGGGAACAACACGTTCTTGTAAAAAGTTCTTGAAATTCTGACCTTTGTATTGGCTGATAAACTGACTTGGCTGTCAGAACTTTAGCTTGGATTTTGATTTTTCTGTGAGTTCCTGTTAAAAACTAAAATGCTCAGGCAGGCCTTCTTTCCAAAAACCCTGTTTTGATTTAAATTTCTTTACTTAGCACTGCTTAGCTACTCAGCCTGAGTAAATTGCTATTTTCATTGACAACTGTGTCTGAAACAGCACACACAATCCACATTGGAATCCATTTGATTAGAATACAAGAGAACCATGTCTCATGCTTTCCCCATAATGATTAATGCATTTCTCCAACTACAGTTAAACTGTGCCTCGCTAAAGGCAGAATGAGAAACTATTGACTGAAATAAGTTTACAAACATGTTTTTTTTAGCTCAGTTTATCCTAGCTAAGAAATTTCTCTGCTCTTGGAAGAGGCAAATAACCATTGATTTGGCTAGCTGTGTGCTCTCACTTCAACCTCTGCTTACGATAGCAGTAATGAAAGCATGGCTAAAGTCAAGCAAAGACTATTTGACTCAGATCTGAAGCCTCATATTGCTGCTGCTTTACTTTCATTGACACTCCATATGCCATTCCAAAATACCTCTACAATGTCCTCCCTGCCTAACACAGAAGGGCATTCACCCTGGCAATAACTGATATCCTACCTTCAAAAATAATAGGGACGAGATTTAATAATATCCCGTTTCGAAAATGGATTTTCATCTATTCATCTTGCATATTTCTTTCTAAGTTACCCAGTATCATTGTTGGCACTTAAGAGT